AGTCATAGTGGTTCAATTTTTCAACCTTGCACACCGCTAGCACATGACTGCAAGGAAATCGTCTAGCTGTGAACCGTCCACATTGACATTTACGATTTAGCAAGTCAACCCTCATAATGTCGCCGGCATCATGCGTAGATTGATTGTAGGCATCCTCAACTTCAAACAACTGCAAGTCTCTATCAAAAACACGGACACGGAGACTGACAGTTAACTGATCATTCTTTTGTAAGAAGTCCTCAACCTTTTTTGCAATTCTCCAGCCTTTGTCCTTTACTTTTTGGATCTTTTCACGCCTCTTCACAAAATACTCTACAAGTCTACTTTGCGTCATCTTGACCAATGCCGTTACTGGCAAATTACGTGCACCCCGTAGGACCTTATTGATACACTCAGATAGGTTAGTCGTCATATGACCAAACCTTCGGCCCTCCTCATCATAAGACCTGCACCATTTCTTTTTGGGAATCTGATCTATCCATGAGGCTACTTGTGGGTTACTGTCGACAAATTCTTGAAATCTTAAATCAAAGTGAATCTTCGAACACATGTAACCTGCAAAAAATGAACCCAAATTGCAATGAGTTATACATAAACAACATTACATACAACATGTACACATTCATGTAAATAGGTTACCTAGTTTCATCAGCGTTTTCTTCAGTTCCACGTCCCTAAACTTAGTGTTGAAGTTGCTTCCAATGTGACGAAGACAAAACACGTGATACGCAAATGGAGGCTGCCAACCGGCATGATCCTTCACAGCCCTGATGATGCTGGGGTGACGATCGGATATTAGACATATACCATGCCTACGTGTGACATGGAAACGCATCTGGCTAAGAAACCACAACCAATCATCCAATCTCTCACCCGGTGGAACAATGGCAAACGCAATAGGCAGAATGAATCCATCACCATCCTGTGACGTAGCAATCAAGAGGGTACCTTTGTATTTCCCGTACAGGTGCGTGCCATCAATTTGGATTATGGGTTTACAATATTTGAAAGCCTCAATGCACTGGTGAAAAGTCCAAAATACCCTGCGAAAGACAGCCTTATCGGTGTAGACACGTCGTTCGTCACAACACTGATCCGTATCAATCTTGAACACAGAACCAGGATTTATCTGTGTCATGTAGGTCAGCCAACCAGGTAAGATGGCATATGATTTTTCCCAGTCCCCAAACAACTTCACAATGGCCTTCATTTTAGCCTTCCAAGCCTTCCTATAAGATATGTTGTATCCATACAAACTTTGTACCCTCTCCTGAATAAGAACTGGTTTCGTGGATGGATCTTCTTTTAACATACCTATACAAAATTCGAAGTCAACACAATCAATAAATATACCGAAAAATTAAACCATAAACAAAAATGAATGTAATACATACTTATAATGGCTGCACAGATTACATCAGAATCCAGCTGTCTATGGTCCCGAGTAAGGCCTTGGTTTAGGCAAGTGTGTTTTTTACCCCACTTACTAACAACCCAACTATTTCCATTCTTGGGCAACATAGCCCGCACGTACCAGGGACAACCATCATTATGGTGTCGACACTTCATCACAAATCTATGGTCATCACTTTTTGCCACCACAGCAGTACGATGAGACTTCATACAATATAATTTGACTGCATGTTGCATTTCAGATTTAGTTCGAAACTCCTGGTACAAATATAATGGATCTCCTAAATGCCAGCCACCGTGGATGTCATCGTCGCCATACAATATCTCTGTCTCATCATTAGGGTGAGCCCAATTAATGAACGAATAGTGTGGGCTGTCGTTCCAAAATGGCTCAATCTCAGAACCTACGTCCAAATTTAAACTTATCCGTCAGTACGAAAGAAAACACAAATATATATATATGCAAAATTAAAACTTTAATTTACAATCTTACCACTGCTAACAGGGTCAACACGGAGCGGTGGCATAACCTGGGAACTCAAGTTTCCTGAACTAGTATCAGCGTCAAAATTCCCCTCTACGTCCGTATCTGAGGTGTCACCCAGCGGAATAACACTCTCGAGTTCACCATCGTCTTCACTGTCCATATCCTCGTCATGCTCATCCTCATCCTCGTGTATTTCCCTCAGTGGTATCTGACTTAAGACAGGTGCAGGTGCAGATAAACCGACCACTCTGTCTTCTTGACTTTGACTTCTTCCATGCACAGGTGCAGATGAAGATTGACCACAGTCTATTTCAACATATATCTCAATAAAGTTTTGAAATTTTCGGTCCACAATTGCATCTATGACACAGTCCACATCTTCATCGTCACATATATCATTACCAATGTAGAATATAGCATCCTTACCAACTGTAGACTCTACCCTGGCGATCATCCGTTGAACGCCATGGCTGCCGTGTAGCCCCAATTTTTGGTTAATCCTCCCCTTCAGCTCATTGTACGTAGTGCCCCGTTTGATTTTCAACATTTTCGTTTTTCCTTCAAATTGAACACCGTTGGGGCCTTCATAATGCTTTCCATCATAGTAAATCATGGTAACATACATGTTTGGACTTGAGCTCATCTTTCACACGAATTTTGGGGGTAGGAATCAGATTTTAGGGGTTAGGGTTCGGATTTGGGGGAAACAATTGAGAAATAAAGGAAAATGACAATGATTTCACAATTACTATGCCTTAGAGGTGGTGGGATGAAATGGAAGGGTGATTGGAAGGTTCACAGCTGACAAACAAGAGAAAGAGACCAAGAGAGGAGTTTTGATTTCAAATATAATGAAAATAAGGCCAAGAGAGGTCTGGATATAGGGTTTTTCGCGATCTTTAGTCGACTAAATAATGTTCTTAGTCGACTAAAAGTGCAAACAATTTAGTCGATTAAGGTGAGTTTTTAGTCGACTAAAATTCGCGTTTCATAATTTCTGAGTTTAGCCCATTTAGTCGATTAAAAGTGCAACTTAATCGACTAAATGGGGGCAGGATGGTGGATAGTTCTGGGGGAGGGCAAATTGGTTATTAATTATTTAATTAGGGGCAAAAGGGTCAAAAAGCTGTGTGCTGTGGCCAACTTTTCCATTTGGTAATAGTTCTATGTTCGACTTCTAATGATACTGAAAGTCGTGCGAAAAATTAAGTGATAACACCTCCAACATCGATCCTGAACCCTCTAAAGTAATTCATGTTCTTTTGCTTATGCTAGCTTCTAGTAACTCGCATAAGAGAGGTGTTTTAGTACAACGTAGATTGTTTGTTCGCGAGTCCTTAAACTACGAGAGAATAGTTGACTATACAACAAGGGAATCAAAAGTGATGGTGTTTGAAAACATTGTGAATTTAATCACTCTCTTTACAATATTTTTCTTTATATATCATGCACATAAACACAAATCAGTCCTAACTCCATAATATTGATCATTTTTATTGTCTATAATAAATCTACTAGTGCAAAGTTCCATTAAGAATCTTTGTTTCAAAAAATAAAATGTTTTTTTTTTGGCATAAAATGCATGAATAACCAAATAGAAAAATTATATAGTTTATGGGTATTACTAATTAAATAGATAAATATATATAAAAAACACACACACACACACACACAAAACACAAAACAAACAAACATCAACCGATGATACAAATCATATGTGAATGAATATGTGAATATTAGCTTCCTCGGGCTCACTGACGGAGTTAGAAGAAAAACTAAGTCAGTGCCAAAGGATCCAACTAGATAGAATTTAGTCAATACCAAGGTTGTATTATTTTTAAAACTCAACTAGTGCTAAGGTAGTACCATAGTTTTTAATGAAAATATGCACCTTTTTTAAAAATTAGTTGGTGCCAAGGCAGTAGCTTGACTCTGCTCGAGCTGATTATGGATAGACTTAGAGGTGGTTTCTCATTAATGATATTTGTCCGTGATTGTGTATAGGCTTTGCCATTTGGCCCAGCGAGTTTTAAAATAGTGACATTATTGTCATTTCAAAAAGCTAAAGGAATACCCTACCGTGATGTGGATGTTCCCAACTCGTACATGATTGCCTCCCATAGAAGATACCCGTGGTTTATTCAAAAAAAAAAAAAAGAAGCTAAAGGAATACTTCTTTTTTTAGTTTTTTGACCTATTTAATTCAATTTGTATAATTATTTATCAATTTATTTTTTTACCAAATAATTTACTAATTTAATATGAAGATGTGCATCTTGACATTGGGCGTTCAAGTTGTGTATCATCCTATACACGACTTATGCAAAAAGTCAAATTGTGCCTACCTCAGCATGCATGCAAGGAGAGTGTGCAACTTGTGGCATATGCACATTGATTTTTGCACAAGTCACACACGAAGTGATGCATGATTTGAACAAGCATGGCCAAGAAGCAAATACTTCCTCTAAAAACTACTTTTTCTTGAAAAAATCATTTTTAGAAAGAGAGAAAAGTCCATCCAAACGGACTCATAGTAGACTAGCACCAAATGTGACTGAATCGACTAAGATGACGTCGTTCAGGACTTACTACCCTTATTGCAATATAACTGAGATGAAGATTTAGATTCTTCTATGGAAGGTAGTTGCCATAGCACGAGATATTTTCCTCGAGAATTGTAGATTTAAAGAAGCAAATCTGAAAAATGAGATTTTGGAAGAGATTAAACATTATTGAAAAACTTTTCCACTCTAACGAAAGGAAATTGATCAAGAGGCTGCCAAAATCTTATGATTGTCAAATAAAATGAAAATATACTAGTAATTTACTTTATCCAATATGACATCGAATAAATCCTTCTCCACGCATCAACTCGTAAGTTTTTGTGTAGAACACAATCCAAGTCAGCCCACTTATATATCGCACACTCCAACAGTACAAATGATAGTATTTAATAATTTTAACGTTCGCAATAAGGGTAAGAATGCTTAGATAAAATTATACATGAGGACCTCAAAATTAGATATCACAGAATAATTTAACGGAAAAAAATTACTAACCTCAATTAGAGAATGCTGGTGAAAACAAAATCACGGCTGCAATAAAAGATTAAGCAATTACAAAGCTCGTCTAACTACACGTATACTTAAGTTTGGAAGGCGAAGACCATAAAGGGCAGCACAAGTAAGTTTACAAAAGCGAAAAGGGTACAGGGGAATATTATGTATAGTATCAGCCACTAACGAGGCTATCAATAAAAACAACCACCACCTTGCAACCACGACTGAAATCCCCACATCAACAACCACTTGTATAATTATAACAAAATGAGATTAAATTAAACAATATACAAATTACTTTCTTTGTGGTCTATTGGCAGGGGGGGTGGGGGGGAAGAGGCTCGTTTTAATTGGTTTAAATTAATTGGAAGTTTAGAAGCTCAATAACCACACTGGAGAAGTAGCAGCTGTTCATCTAGTGAACCATCTTTATAGCCACCAGCAACCCTTAAGCAATCAAACGCAAGCACAGGTGGAAGATTTATCATCAAGGAGGAGACCTCTCTTTTCTTTTACCAATCAAGGAAGTAGTATTATTCTCATCAACTTGGGAATCCAAACTACAAACTTCATTTGCGAATCTCTCTGGCAAGTGGGGATCTATTGAGTCACAATGATGGAAGAATTGACTATTTTCAGAAGTATCCACACCATTAGAAACAGTAGCAACAGAATCAAGAGCACTTGGCCGGGTAATGCAGAGCCAAGATCTCGAAGACTCACAGCTAATGCCTGATGCTAAAGGCACATGCCATGATCCTTTTTCCGATTCCTGAAACACAAACGTTTTCATATTTTGTACAAGAATAGAATATAGAAACAACTCTAGAAACAAAATAGTTTTAGGTTCGATAATAGTTAGGCGTAGTATACGAACTTCTTAGAAGCCAAGGCACATGTAATGCTAATAATGCTCTTGTCGTCTTATTTGGTTGCACTTTAAACAATCTTGGATGTCCAACTTGAATTTCTAAATATGCTCTTTACTAATTTCTGCAGTATTATGTTGATATAAGATTTTTGTGGTATGAAATTGTTTAAAGGTAAAATTGGCAATTCATTGACAAAAGGTAAAAAATTTGTGCTCAAGCACCTTGAAATTCCTAAAAGTTTGGTAGGCAACACATGGCCACACACACTAGTCATTTGAGTTGGAAAAGGGGCATCGGAGATATCTATGGTTAACTCAGGCCCAAGTAAATAAACCATATATATCATGCCCAGACATCTAACCATGCACAAAACAATACCAAGGATATTCCATTGTTACCTATCTACGTATCAACCACAATACCCCAAAAACAATGAAAATTTACCATTACAAATGGACAAAGTGAAATACAAACTTAACCTATAAATATAAGCATTCCTATTTTCACAAAATGCCAAAATTTAAGTCTAATTAAGAAAAAGTTATCTGTCTCTGCGCCAACAAAAACAATTGTAGGAAAAAAGTACAATCATCGTCACAAAAACAATAATATGCCCTGATGCTTGAAAGTGTGAGAACTAAAGTTTTTTACATAAACTACATGAACATGAGGTAAGAAATTTAATATGCTTATGGATCACGTGATCGAATGACAATACAAATCTCCCCTCAAACACCAAAGGATCAAAACAGTAGATTGTCATAGTGCACAAAACACAAGCACATTCTTGGTAAGAACAGTAGAATGACAGCTCCAAGCAAATGTCATGGTACGTGCAAAAAATTACCTGCATAACCAATGAATACGATGGTGGCATCTGAAGTTTTAGGTTTCCTTTAACAAAAGTGTAGTGAACCTGTAGATAAAGAAAACAAATTAACTTATTATAAAAGTAAGGGCACGTCATAAAGATCTTGAACATGTAGATAAACTTCAAAGGCTCTATGATACGATCTGGTCCAGCAAACAGTTTAGAAAGGTGTACGAAAGAAAAAGAAATAGGGGAATATTGAATAATGTCGAGTCATCAAAGGTTGTTAGCATGGGAGGTTAGTTGAGGGGAGTCACATTTGATGACATTGAATCACGTTTGGGGGAGCTGATTCTATTTAGAGAAGTGGGTCATTCTAAGGGTATTGGGAATCTTGGGAATAGTTGTAATTGGAAAAAAAACCAGGGCCTCTCAAATTGCTCTAGCTTGGTGTTCTTTATCCTTTTGTAAGGACGAATGGAGATTTTACAGAGGTTGAATGCCACAGAAGCAAGACAGAACGAAATCTTGCGCAGGTTGGATGTCTTAGCAGCAAGCATCCATCAGTTGCAGAATAGACTAGACCAAAGACGAAACGGAGGGAAGAAGAGATGACAAATCTTAGGAATCGATTGAACAAAATGATCGAAGACACTATCGAGCAGAAGTTGGAACTAGGAAATTGGAGATCCCAACATTTTATTCAACCCAAAAACTTAAGCAATTGGGTGAGGGCCTTTTTTTTAATGATTTATATTATTTTCTAATACACCCCCTCAAGTGTGGATATTGCATAGGCCAATTTTTTATTTACCTTGTGTTTATTTAATTCCACTAGAAAGTGGGGGGACGGTGAGGATTGAACTCGTGACCTCATGATCACTGAGGCTCTGATACCATGTAAAGAACCAATTCAACCCAAAAGCTAAAGCTTTTAAGTGAAAGCCCATCAATGGTTTATATACTTCTCTAACATGCCCCCTCACACAAGAGCCCACTGGGTATAAAGGGTGGATAATGCACAGGCCCACCTACCTGTGCTAAGAAATTCCACAAGAGAAAGTTGGGGGAGTGACGATCAAACCCGTGACACCAAGGCTCTGATACCATGTAAAGAACCAATTCAACCCAAAAGTTTAAGCTATTGAATGAGGGCCTTTTTTTAATGATTTATATTATTCTCTAACAATTAGCATGGGAGGTTAGTTGTGGGGAGTCACATTGGATGGCATTGAATCACGTTTGGGGGAGCTGATTCTATTTAGAGAAGTGGGTCATCATTCTAAGGGTATTGAGAATCTTGAAAATATTGGAATTGGAAAAAAAAACTAGGGCTTCTCAAATTGCTCTGGCTTGGTGTTCTTTATCCTTTTGTAAGGACGACCGAAGATTATACAGAGGTTGAATGCCACAGAAGCAAGATAGAACGAAATCTTGCGCAAGTTGGAAGTCTTAGCAGCAAGCATCCATCAGTTGCAGAATAGATTAGACCAAAGATGAAATGGAGGAAGAAGAGATGACGAATCTTAGGAATCGATTGGACAATCGAAGGCACTATCGAGCAGAAGTTGGAACTAGGAAATTGGAGATCCCAACAATTTTTGGTGAGAATGCATTCATGTGGCTTAGTAGAGTAGAGCGCTACTTTCTGGTGAATCATACAGAAGAAGAGGAGAAAGTACCTTCAATTATGGTGTTTTTGGAGGGGGGAAGCCTTAAATTGGTACCAATGGTGGGTATTGGATACTCCTCAAGCTACTTGGGTCCAATTTCGCAAGGAACTCCTTAGTCACTTCCAACCTGACATGCTTGATAATTCATATGGTCCATTATATGCTCTGCGCCAGGATGGGAGTGTCTCTGACTATAGGGTGGAATTCGAGAGAGTGGTAGGAACTTATGATACAAGGACGGTGAGTTGCTGAAGAGATCCCAACATTTTCTGGTGAGAATGCATTCATGTGGCTTAGTAGAGTAGAGCACTACTTTCTGGTGAATCACACAGAGAGGAGGAGAAAGCCCCTTCGATTATGGTGTTTTTGGAGGGGAAGCCTTAAATTGGTACCAATGGTGGGTATTGGATACTCCTCAAGCTACTTGGGTCCAATTTCGCAAGGAACTCCTTATTCGCTTCCAACCTGACATGCTTGATAATTCACATGGTCCATTATATGCTCTGCACCAAAATGGGAGTGTCTCTGACTATAAGGTGGAATTCGAAAGAGTGGTGGGAACTTTATAAAACAAGGACGATGAGTTGTTGAAGGGTGCGTGGCTCAATGGGTTGAGGCCTAGTCTCGAAGGAGCTTCTAATGAGTCCTACGTTGAGGTTGTCAGACATGATGAAACTCACACTAAAGTTGGAACGAAGAAATGCACTATGGATGAAGGAAGGGATGTTCGGGTTGGGTGCTATAGTGGGTCTCACAAAATGACCCAAAATAAATGGGTTGGAGTTGGAGCGACCCATTTGTCCAAAAGTGGGTCAGACTCTCAACCCACAAAATAATTCACAAAAGGGTAGTTCCAACCCTAAGAGCCAAACGACAGCCACTTCTAGAGTTTTTGTGCAAGGCAATGGCAACATTGCGGGGTCCTCAAACACCGGTGACAAGGCCTTTTTTGCAGAGAAAACAGCGGCAAATCAAGCTGCCCATGGTCGTCGACTATCAAAGGCAGAGTTCCAGGAGCGGATGCGAAAGGATTTATGCTTTAAGTGTGAAAAGAAGTGGAATTTGAGCAATAAATGCAAGGTCCAGCAACTTCACTTACTTCTCATGGACGAAGATGACAAAGAAGACGGTGAGCCATTGAAACCCAGTAAACCAGCAACCAAATACGAGGACTGATGCAGGAATAAACAAAGAAGGCGCTACATTACAGTTGTCCATGCATAGCCTCTTATGGCTCTCTTCAAGCCAAACAACAAAATTGTGGGGGAAGGTCAACAGAGAGCTGGTGGTGATTTTGATTGACTGTGGAGCTTCCCATAATTTCGTGGTAACAGGGGTAACTAAGAGGTTAGGGCAAAACAAGGAAGAAACCCCAATATACCAAGTTGAGGTGGGGGACGGTCATCGAATTGCATGTCAAGGAATTTGCAAGGGGGTGACAATCCGCTTACAAGGACACATAATCCAGCAAGATTTGCAACTGTTTGAGCTTGGTGGGGCAAACATAGCTTTGGGTATGGACTGGTTACAGGAATTAGGAGACATAAAACCCAATTTCAAAGAAATTACCCTTAAGTATGAAGAGGGAGAACCTTCTCTATCCAAAGCAAAAGCATCCTTAAAGTCAGTGGCTAAAGCATTATAGAATAAAGGGGAAGGATACATGGTCCATTTGCAAATATAGAGAACCTTTGAAACCGGAGTGCTGCGGGGGAGACTTGGAGCAGCCGTTGGTAGAGTTTGAGGATCTATTCAAGACACAGTCTGACCTTCCACCAAAGAAGGATCTGGATCGTGCTATCTCACTTAAGCCAGGTAGCAATGTGCCTGATTACATGCCATACAAGTGTCCATATAATCAAAAGTCTGAGATCGAGAAGCTAGTTTCTCAACTGTTGAATAACAATATGATTAGGAAAAGCATTAGCTCCTATGCTAGTCTTGCAATTTTAGTAAAAAAGAAAGATGGTAGCTGGTGTGTGTGTGTGTGTGTATGTGTAGACTACAGGGCTCTGAACAAGAGTATAATTTCGTACAAGTTTCCAATTCCGGTGATTAAAGAGCTCAGAGATGAGGGGTTCACAATTTGTGGGGGACATTTGTTGTTCAATGGCAGATTGATGTTGCCTAGGCAGTCCAGCCTAATTCCTTCCATTCTTAGAGTTTCATGACTCACAAGTGGGAGGCCATTCTGATTTCCTTCAGACTTTTAAGAGAGTTGCAAGACTAGTTTTTTGGGAGGGAATGCAACAAATCAAGGACTACATTGCTGGCTACTATATCTGTCAGGAAAATAAGGTGCAAAACCTTGTACTCTTAGATCTTTTACAACCCTCACCTATTCCCACTCAGGTTTGGGCAGACATTTCAATGGACTTTGTTAGTGGGTGTGGGGTGGACACCATATTGTAGTTGTAGACAGATTATCCAAGTATGCCCACTTCATGCAGTCAGTCATCCTTATTCAGCCAAGGACATTGTTGCTGTGTTCCTGAAGGAAGTGGTAAGTGTAAGAACCTTAAATTAAGAATTTAAGTAATTTAATTAAGAATTTAAGAAAGATTTCCATAATTGACTTTGGATAAATATAGAAAGATTAGAATAATTATTCGAGAAGATCAAATAATGCTTAAATCGCTTTTCTGATAAAAAGTGTGAATACCGGTTCCGCTTCACAGTATAAATGCGTACCTACGAAGTATCCCGAAAAATTATAATAAAAATACAAATATTCCTAGAAAAATATCTAGGTCTAAGATATCAAGTTTGGAGTAATAATAATGAGTGGAGATGTCCAAACTAATATCGGCTATGTATAAAACGCGTACCGATAAAGTATTGCGAAAAATTATAAGAAAAATATGATAATTCCTAGAAAAATGTCTAGATTCAGAATATTAAGTTTGGTGGAAAAAGCTTATCCCATTAAACCATCATCACCTCTTGTAGAACTTGAGTCTTGTGAGAAAAAGCTTATGTGTTAAGGGTTTTAGCTTCTGTTTGCATTGAGGAAGGGCTGACTTTGGTGTTCTTAGTGTATGAGCCATGGATACCTCCTTGTAAGCTCCAAGAACCAACCTTTGTGAAGAAACAACCTACCTTGGAGTGAGATTTTCATGCACCACCAAGTCAGTAGCTTGGAGCACCTTCAAAGTCCTCAAATTTCCCCCATTTTTCTGTCTTCAAAGTCTCTTAGGTAACCCTTCACCATTTCCTTTGTAAATTCATGAACAAAGCTTGTTTTGAGTCTTTTAAAAAGGAAAACTTTGATGATTCAAGTAAAAGGTTGTTAATTTAAGTGTAATATGGTAGTTTGAACTTCTGCTTGGGGATAAATCAAAGGTGGGAGCCTTGGGAGGCTAGTAGAGCTCGAATTATGCAGAAAAATATGCATTTTCGCGTTTCTGCACAGGTGGTAATCGATTACCACTG